AAGACATTGAAAAGTCAGAAGGAAAAAAGTTTAGGAAAAAAAAAATACACTCAATTTTAGACAGGTAGTAGTATACTCTAAACAGCTGATGATACAGGTGTGGAAATCAGAAGTCAAAACTAAAGCTATAGCTCTATATACAGGTGGTAATCGAAGTTGTGATATGAAACAAGAGGCCATAGGAGAGCAGAGAAAGAAACATAGAGGGTCAAAGACAGACCCTTGGGAGTCATCTACATTAAGGTGTCAGAAAGAAGATGACAGGCCAGCAAAACTGGAATGGCAAAAACTTTTATGGAAGGGCAATCTCCATTGATGGAGAAAGTACCAACATCAATGAAATCTTTATCTCTGAAATGATCAAATACTGAAATTATTTAGTATTGACATTTTACTCTAAATGGCCTTTCTGTCTTACTAAATACTGGTGATAATGATATAACAGCCTTTCTCTCTGAAACTATAAACCCAGTATGAGGGATCAAATGGAAAACCTGCTTTAATGGGTCATCTGCTTATTTAAAGAATTCTTAGGAGATTAGGAGATCCAGTAGTTCCAGATTCCTCCAAGGAGGGAGGTTAAAAGTGATATCATGTGAGTTTCCAGGGTACCTAACCCAAGCAGTTCAAAGATCTAGGGCTGGAGGTAAAAAAAAATCTGTCTTTTCTCAATATAACAGGGCTCTGCTGGTTCAAGTCATCCTGGATCAGCTTTGCCCTAGAACAGTTCAGCCCTGATCCAAAAATGAATTTCCTAGAAGGCTAGAGGGAATCTACAGATGCTTAAATTAGGGAAATTCTAAAAATCAGTGATACCCCTTAGCCTGTTTTTTCTTTGTTTGTTAGTTTTGACCCAAAGACCACTAAAGAATTTCAACATTTAATCTGACAAAACCAACTAGTTAATGAGTCAAGTGATGCATATATACAATGTTCACATATCACACAATAATGCCAAAGACTTGCTAATGTAAAATATATCAGTTAGTTGCTAAAACACTGAAATCTGATCTTAATAAAGCATGTTTATTTTGTATTTGAATTAAGATGTACATAGCTAGTAATGGCAGTCTTGAAGAAAAAAAAAAAGTGTGTCAAGTCCATCTGCTTAAAGTAGTCATAAAATAAAATCTCCAAAACATTCATCTTACTGTTCAATGTAAAATGAACATGAAGTCCATTTCACTGAAGTGAGGAGTTATGATTGTACATTTAAGTAGTCTAACATCCAGAAAAATGTAGACTTTAAAATGTTACAGACTGCTCAAATCTCAACCTACAGACATAATAACAATATTATGGCATAAGGTCATGGATCCATAACAAAGCCAAATATGATTAAGTAACTCACTGCTAATCAATATTTTGAACATGACATATATTAAAAAGGTAAAATCAAAAAACATCTTATAGCATAGGGGAAATTAATGTGACTGTTAGAAAGGCAGTCCAGGTAAAGTCTAACAATTCATAAAACAGAGTTTACATAGCCACAGGTTAATTACCTAGTGTAGTAACTAATTAGATCTGATCATCGTGAGAAATGTCAACAGAAATTAGGATAGACGAACTGGTTCTTATCAAATAACTCAGAACTCAATTGGGTTCCCAAAGTGAACTAAAACCTCTGAGATAATAATCAGTTAAATTATTTTTTTCTATTCAGCTTTAAATTCATATAATTAACTGAAAAACACCTATTTTGGGGGATTAAGAATTGAAAAAGGTAAACTGACAGCTTCCAGAATCCTCATACTTTAAAAAAACAAAAAGGATGAACACATTATAAGACAAGTGGATAAAGAGTACTCTTAAGTATCTGAACATTTTTATTACTAAGTAATCAGTGCAGAGAAATAATAAAATATGAAATATCATGCTGAAAAATGCCAATCATTTTCCAGCCCAAAATTCTGTCTCTAATAGTTGCACCAAGGCATCTTTTATATAGAGGATACGGTTGCCTTCCACTGCCTTCCAATGTTCAAATAATAGGGCTATATTCCAATTCATCCTTTCTTCCTATCCTATCATGACACTATTCTCAGGAATCTCTCTAAACCCTTCTTGAACCTATTTATATTTTCTGCTCATGTGACCACTTGTCACTAAAAGTTCTACAAGTTTACTATGGCTACGGAAGGTAACACTTCCTTTTTATAGACCTTAGAGTTACCTCCAATGAACTTCAAGGAGTCAGTTACCTCATGCTAGCAGTCCAGAATCTGTTGAATAAATAAATCCATGTTTTTATCCCATATATGTCCTTCATGATTTTAAGAACTTCAATTGAATCCCCTCTTTATTTTTCCTGACTAAAAAAATTTTCATTCTTTTTATTACCTATCCTTGCCTATATACTTCAACGCCTTCATCCTTTTAATTGTCTACGGTGCTGGTTAGTCATTTACTATGCCTAAAATGTCATTCTCCTCCTTGTCCCTCCTTGTTGAATTACTCTTGCCTATAAAAAGCCTAATCCAAATGTCCTTTCCTTCATAAACGCCTTCCCTGAGCTTCCAACAATAATGACCAGCCTCCTCAAATCTCACATAACATTCTGTAATTATAATTTCCTTATAATACAGTTCAGAGAATAAGTATTTTTTGGTATTTCATAGCCTTTTTTTCCTAGACTTTAAGCTCCATGAGGGCACAGACTGTTATCTACATGTTATGGATAACATATGGATGCCAACTCCCCCAGCACTTTGCATATAAAAGGTGATTATTAATAAATATAAAATGTCACTTCTATGGACTACTTGCAACTACAAAAAACCTTTTATCAGGTGCACTGGCCAGAAATACATGATTATATCACTGGTAAAGACATACCATGGACAAGCAAATGTGTATGAAGAGTTTTGAAAAGTACAAAATCCAATAGAAACATATAGCATTGTTGTTATTGTTGTTGTTACTATTATTATTACACAAGGAAAACGATTTCATTCTCCCCCTCCCAAAAAAAATCTTTCCAGTAAATTCCCTATATTTGGTTGGCCTGTTTGGCTAGAGCAGCAGACTGTCTAGGGCTCTTCTGGGAAGACTCAACAACGAATCTAGTATTCCTTCCCTGGTGAAAAACAGCTCTGTGCCAATTAAGTCCAGCATGATGAATGTCCAGTAGACATCTAAAACTCAGCATGTTCAAAACTGAACTCATTACCTTTCTCTCTAAATCCTATCTCCCTGGCCCCTCACTTTCCCTATTAGTTCGGATAGCAACATCATCCTCCCAGGCCTCCTAGGCCTGCAACCTAGTATTATGACTCTTCGCTATCTCTCACCCCCTATATACAAGCTGTTGCCACAGTCTGTTAATTTCACCTTTACGACATCTCTCAAATATGCCCCCTTCTTTCCCGACACTGCCACCAGCCTAGTGAAGGCCCTCTCATCACTTCATGCCTGAACTATCATAACAGCCTACTGGTGGGTCTGCCTGCCTTGAGTCTCTGAACACTCCAGTTTATCCTCCATTCAGCTGCCAAACTAATTTTCCTAAATAAAGCAGAGGTCTGATCATGTCACCCCACCTATTCAATAAATTTCAGTGGCTCTCTATCATCTCCAAGATCAAATACAAAATCCTCCAGCATTCGAAGCCCTTCATAAACTAGTGCTCTCCCTCCCCCCCGACACACACAAAACTTTCCATTCTTCTTATACCTTATACTCTCTCATTTATTCTTTGATCCAATAATACCGGGATCCTTGCTGTTCCAGGAACAAGACATTCCATCTCTTGGGTGTAGCCATTTTGTCTGGCATCCCCCACACCTGAACGGTGCCGCCCTCCCTCCACCCCCCAATCCCCACATCTCTACTCCCTGGCTTCCTTCTAGTTCCAATTAAAATCTCACCTTCCACAGGAAGTCTTTCCCAACCCCTTTTAATTTTAGTGCCTTTTCTCTGTTCATTAATTCCTCTTTATCTTATACACAGCTTGCTTATATATATTTGTTTACTTGTCTCCCTCATTAAATAGTCCCTGCTCTCAAGGGGCTCACTATCTTCTGCTCTTCTTTGTATCTCCAGCACTTACCACTGTGCCAGGCACATAGCAGGTACTTAATAAATGCTTATTGACTAATATTTAAATGTTTTTTCTATTATGTAACTTTCAACCCCAATAAATCTAAGGTCCTTAAAGGCCCTGCCTTCTACTACTTTGAATTCCTAATCAGGCCCGAGCACAATGCCTTGTCAAAATAAGTATTTCTTGACTTAGTTTGCTAGTCCTTGATTCATAAAAACATCCTCCATAATTCCAGTTTTATATATGTACTTAAGCATATATTTATGTTTTTAAGCACCTTTTGATTTAAAAACTCAAATACTTTTGAAAAATACAAGTAAACTAAACTATGTTCACTAGTTCCTTATCTACATGTTCAATTTCTTCTTCAGAGGACTGAAAGAATAACTGAATTTTAAAAGTTAAATCAATCAGTGAAGTTGACTTCTCAACAACTTTTGAGTTACTTTTTGAAGTCTTTAATTACTTACTACATTAATATCTTTCATTACCAACCAAATGCTAGGATATTTGCATTGAATAAAAGCTTATAAGAATATAATCCAAATCGCTATTAACAAAAGAAATGTAAATTAAAACTGGTCCCCCTAGCTGATAATGGTATATATATAGTCAAACAAATACCATACAATTACAGGGTAATTTCTTATAGACATAATGTTATCATTTCATAAAACATCACAAGCAAGAACTAAGAGTCATTAATAGACAAGCCATATTTCCAACTTCATTTTTCAAAGCTTTAAAAGCCCCTACCCAACATCCTTGTTCAAGAATGGGATCTACTAAGCACAGCTGTACCTACAATTATGTTTTCAAAATGCATGTTCCAATTTGTTTGGTAACACTATAAGAACCTTGTTATAAGATGTTTCACTTACTATAGCTTCCTCGAACATCTGCTGTTTCCCCTGAACAATACTAAATTTGCTTTGTTACATTAATATTACCATACCTCTGAAGAGCCTTCATTGTTGACATCCAAGGCATTTCCAGGTGTTGCTGATGAATCAGAATCTGAACCTTGAGAGCCAGCTCTCCCTGGGGTCTATAATAAATTTTAAAAAGAGAGGAAAAAAAAGTTTAGATTGAGTCTATAAATCTTTTTATTTGCTTTCAATTGTAACCAAAACCATGTAGTAGTGCTCACTTAAATATTTTGAAGGACACCTGATAATGGTGTTCCCATCAGAAATAGGTTCCCCACCCCAAACCCCTCATACCTGAAAAATCCTACCAGAGAAACTTACTGCTTAGGGTTAATGCATTTTCTTTTGTTAAAACCAAAACATTCCTGGAAAAAGTAACATGTTAAATCACTATGCCATTAACAACATGGTGCTTATGTGATCCTTTCCTACAAAAGCCCAGAGTCCCAGATGAAAGAAGATTCACTAAAGCACAAAGTACTATGTAACCTCTCCTTATGGCCCTCCTGTTCCTTCACTATTTCTATCAGTGACATCACCATTCATCCATGTTATTATTATTAATGAAATAGAAACCTTGATGTTACCCTTGACTCTTCCTTCTCTGTGATCTATCCAGTTAGGGAACCCTTCTCATTCACTCTACAATATCTCTCCTCTCCTCTCTAGAGGAGATTTTTAATGGCCTCTTAATTGACTTTCCCCTCTCCAATTCATCCTTCACACTACACCCAGACTTGTTTTTCCTAAGAATAATTTCCTCATGTCATTCCTCAACTCCAAACTCTTCAAAGGCTCCCTAATGCTTCCTAAGCATAAAATCCAAACTGCACTGCCTGGCCCTAAAAGCTCTCCCCACCCCCAAGTCTGGCAGCATCCTACCTTTCCAGCTTTACTTTTTTTTCCCCAGCTTTACTTCTTACCTCTCTTTCTACTACTAACTCTAAAGCAGAGCCAAACTAGACTATATCATCTGTCTCCAAGCCCTATCCTGTCACTTCCTATGTAGTGCAATGGCAATGGACTTGAAGTCAGGAAGACCTGAGTTCAAATCTGGCAAGTCACTTAACCTCTACTGTAAAATGAGGATAATAATAGCACCTACCTCCCAGGGCTGCTGTGAGGATCAAGTAATATAATATTTGTAAAGCACTTAGCACAGTGCCTGGGACATTTGCAGACTCTTTATAAATGCTAAGCTATATCTGGAATGCACTCTCCTCCTCTATTGAATCCTACCTATGTCACAAAAAAGGTAAGAAAAACTTGCATGAATAGAGTAAAATAAGTAATAATCACTCAAAAAAAATTAAATGACCACAATAATATGAGATAAAAACTTTGAAAGAATTCTGAACATTGATCAATGCATCAATCAAACACTTTAAAAGACCGAAGATGAAGCATGCCTCCCACCTTTGGCATGGAAGGAATAGACACTACAGGCCTAGAATGAGACAGATTTTCAGAAACTGCCAATGTGCTCATTTGCTTTGCTTGACTATACTTAATATGTAACCAGAGAAGGCTTCTATTTGGGAGACTGGAGAGGATGAGTTAGTGGATAATGAAGAAAAAAGAAAAAAAAAAGTAAAAAGAAAAAAGCAACAAAAAATTTCAATGGAAAAATAAACAAAATTCAGAAAAGGATGAAAAATGGGGTAGTTTTTGCTACTTCTTTCTTAAATTTAATATGAATTCTAAAAAAAATCTATCCCTAGTGACTACCACAGGCTTTGTATAAAGTAGGCACTTAGTAAATATTTGTTGAACTGAACAAAAAAGACAAAGATCCACTGATATAAAAAACACAGAATGAACTAACAAAATAATAAGTCCAAAAGTCCTTCTCTAATGCAAGGGTCCCAACCTTTTCTAAGTCATGGACCACTCTGGCAATCTGGTAAAACCAACCACATTCATCAGAATTTTTAAAAATTCACTACTGAAGGAAATATGAGATTTCAGTTAGAGGTTCTTACTGTTTGTCCTAGGGGCAGAGGAGGAAAAGTAGACATCAAAACCTAAGCAATGAGTCACAGAGTTAGAGGTTAATGAAGATAAAGATGTCATTTTTTTTCCATTCAAGTTCATGGACTCTCCAAAATTTATCAACAGACCCCTTAAAATCCAGGGACCCCAGGTTAAGAACCACTGCTCTAATGGATCAAGTGGTCAAAGGAGGGGAACAGATAGTTCTCAAAAAGAATTGCCAACTACTAACAACATATGAAAGATTGCTTCAAATCATTAACAACAGAAATGCAAACCAAAACAACTCTGGAGGTTTCAACTCAAACTGGCAAAATATAAGCAAAAATAAAAGTAAGAGGGGCTAACAAAAGTCAGGTACACTGTATGCATTAGTGGAGTTGTGAAAGGTTCCCAACATTCTGGAAAGTGATTTGGAATTATGCTTCAAAAATGACTAAATATCCATTTCCTGTGACCTTACCATTCCATGTCTAAGCATATACTAAAATGAGGCAAAAGAATTACTGTGCCATAAGAAATGATGAATATAAACAATTCAGAGAAGCATGGGAAGACATGAAATGATGAAGAGTAAAGTAGGCAAAGTCAGGAAAACAATAGACACAATTACAACAACACAGAGGACATGAAATGATGAAGAATGACGTAAGCAAAGACAGGAAAACAACAGAAACAATGATTACAACAACAGGAAAGGAAAGAGCAAGAAAAAAAAACAAAAATACTATGTAAAAACTGAGTTTGGCCCCAAAGAAGAGATAAGAAAATGCACCTCCCTTCCTTCTTTGTAGAGTGTGGCACATGGCATGGATGACTGCCAGGCACAGGTAAAATGCTGGTTTGTTTGGAGGAGCTGCTTTTTTCCCCCTTTTTATTTTTTCATCTTTGTTAAAAAGTAATGGCTTGCTGGGTAGGAAGGTAGAGGCAGCTATATGTGAAAATGAAAGTGACAAAAACAAAAGATGATGAAAAGTTTTTGAAAAAGAAAGATACAGTCCTTAAGAAGTTTACAATCTAACTAGAGACCAAACAACTAGTATACATGAAAAATGAGAGGGACTTAATAAATGTAAGACCATGTGATATTTACTGAAAGTGTACTTTTATTGATTATTGATTGGGAAAGGCTTTGTACATTAGATGGGACTTGAGCTGGGTCTTGAAAGATTAGTAGAATTTAAATAATTGAATAGGAAGAAAAAGGGGACTTCAAGGTAAGAGAGGAATAAAATTAATGAAGGCACACAGACAGTGAAAATTAATGGGATGGGACCCATGGCTGCTATATGGTTCCTGAAAGGGTAAATCTTATTAAAAACTCACCCCATTTCTGCCACTAACTAGATAAAGGGGGGATGAACAGAATTCTATATTAAGAAGCTATATTCTCTGGTTCTTACATTTCCACACTTAAGGAAAGAATGGTGGAATGTCTCTGGATTAAGTTTAACTGTAGGAGAAATAGATAATAATAGTGTTGTGGGAATATCTTAGAGACCACCTTGAGAAAAAATGAGAAATTCAGGGAATGCTCAAGCAGAAGTCTTGAAAACAAAGACTGGATACCTTTTGGATGCACTATAAAGAGTTCTTGTTCAGATAGGGATTGTATTAAACTGTCTCCAAAGACTCTTCTAATTCAGAATCTGTGATTCTGTGATTAACCTTAGAGGAATGAGAAGCTTCCAAGATTGGTAAAGAGTAACAGCATACATGGAAAAAGCAAAATACAAAATTTTGAATGGAAAAAAGGTAAGGTTTTAAAAAATACAAAGATAAAGAGGAAATCACAGATGTCACAGTTTTTAGTCCGAAATTTTTAAAATCATATGAACATCTAAAAATATTCAGTGAGAAAAAAAAACATTTTCAATATGAAAAGCTATAACTAAATGTTTTAAAGGCAAATCAAATCCAATCCATTTTCCAATCCTAGCAACCTTTAAAGGGCAGCACTCTTTCTACCTCCAATCCCAAGTTTCACTACTCTACCCAAAAATACTTTAAAGGAAGCAATAAAATAAATTCAATTAAATGATAATTCTATCATATTTAACAAATATTTAACAAGTTCCTACTGTTGCCACTTTATAGTAGCGTACAACTTATATGTTCAGAGGCCTTCCAGACCTATTATCTCAATGGTTACTATTTCTTTACTTTATATTTTTCTGAGGTAGTTATTATCACCATTTTACATATAAAGAAACTAAGACTCAGAAGAATAAAGTAATTTGTCATTAGTTAGCAAACACAATGTAACAATAAAATGTGGGTAACAAAGATAACAATTACAGGAAAATACAGGTAAAGAAGCAGTGTAAGTAAAATTGTTTCACATAATAATCAGAACCATATGGCTTTTAACACATTAAGACAGGAAAACTACAAGAACACTTAATGTTAGTCTAACAGGCAAGATGAGCCAGATTCAATGGAATATTTTGCATCACTATGAACTTGCAAATATTTTAGACTTCCAAAACCAATGATCACTGAAACAGATGTGGAAAATATGAAGATTATGTCATGTAAAAGCAAAGCAACTCATATTCTAGGACTGAAGGAAAATAATAGCCTTGTCCGCTGAAAAAGAAGCAATCTCAGTTGTTTTTTTAAAAACAAATTTTGAACAAATACTAGAGAAAAAGAATTTTAAATGTTAGTCATATTTGTAACTCTAAAGAACCAAAATATCAAATTAAATCAATTTCTGAAAACTCCAATTTAAATCAAACTGAAATGTGTGCATATAGCATTCTTTAAAGGCCTATTGATAAAAAACAGAATTTTTTTCCTCCACTTAATTCAATCCAACTAGTATTTATAAAGGGCCCTATAATGAATGCAACATTTTGGACAGAATGCAGAAACAATATAAGAGGTATACAGCCCCTGCCTTCAAGAACTCTGTCTCACTGGGTAGCCAGACATGTACATACAGAACAATCAACAACCCAAACAATACAAGTTTCTAAAGGTATACCTTCCTGTTTCCTCTTTTCTTCCTCTTTTCTATCACCTCACACTCCTAGCTTTTTTTCTCCTACCTCTTCCTCCAGTCTTTATCCTAATTTTCTCACTACATAATAAATTCAATTTTTTTAGTTTTTCTATATTTCTG